GGAATTAGGACAGGAGTTGAGGGAAACATCTGAAATTCATGCCAAAGGGAGTTTTCTTGCCATCACACCCATAATCATCCCGGCTAGGATTCCCCACAGCATCCCTCAGGCCACCTCGGACCTGCCACCACGCCATGGGGCAGCCCATGCACGTCCCCTCTTCAGCTGGGCTTCCAGCTCTTATTGCTCCCCAGAGCACAGACGATAATATCGCATTTTATATGGAAAACACTAAAATGGGATCACACCTTTTAAAAAGATATTTCCACCTCGCTGCCTACAACAACCAGGCCCTGCCTTTCCCTCCCCCTCCCCACCAGGCTGCACTATCAGCCCTCTAAGCCTGTTTAATTGAAAAAATGTGATTTAGGCTAATTGACAGCAGATGAGTTACACTGCTAAGAAGCAAGGGAACATTTGATCAGCATGATTTATGGCAGCAGAGAACCAACCATCCCAGGTCTTTGCAGCCCCACTGCCAAAACAGTTCAGCTGGCAAAAAAAAAAGTAATTAGTGTTTAATTTCTTAACAATTTTTTTTTACCTTCCTTTTAATTGCGCTACATAAAACTGTCCTAGAATTTTACAGCCTCCAAAGCGACATCCTGGACCAGTCCTCTTTGCTGGTTTTAATTAGGGTGAGACACGGCTGGCACGTTAATTTACAGAGGAGGGGGAGAACGTCAGACCACGCTCCGGGAAGGGTTTGCCATTACAAGCACCCAGTTAATGTGGGCAGGCACCAGCGGAGCAGTGGGGAGCAGGGGCAGCCCCCCCAGAGCTCAGTAACACACTGCTGGAGCCAAGGGCTGATGCATCCTGCTCACGGTGGGATGGTTTGACTTCTGTGCACCAGAAAATTGCTCCGCTAGCAGGGAACAGGAGAATTTCCTCCCCTTGAGGACCATGGCAGAGGGGCTGGAACGCGATGATCTTTAAGGTCCCTTCCAACCCAAACCATTCTATGATTCACAACCAAAACGTGAAAGTTTAGAGGGGAAAACTAGCTCAGCTTTCAGCACTTTCTACCAAGCAGCTTTGGGCAAATGGGAATTCCTTTTGGATTGGGTCAGGAGGGACTCCAATGCCAGAGGGGGTTTGTGGAGATGCCCAGCAGAACACAGTCCCAAAACGCACCCACCCAAAGCAGAGGAGACCTCCTAGAGGTAACCCAGGTCTTTGGTACCAGAGGAGGAGCAGGAGCTGAGGGCTGGGCTGCAGCCCACCCAGTCCCACTGCATCCCAGAGGAACGGGGGTATGGGTGGGATCACAGCCCCAGCTCTGTGTCCCAGTTTGCAACAAACTGCAGAACCATCACTGATCTTCTATCAGCCCAGTTCCCAGCCCACACCTCCTCCTCATTTCACAAAGCTACTACTGCAGGTTTCAAGAAACTCTTCAGCAAGGTAGAGTGAGAGACCTGCTCCAGGGGCAGCTGAAGCATCAGCCTGTCCCTTGCAGGACACCAAACCTCTGAATTCCCCAGATGAGTTTCTGTGCAGAAGGTGGGAAGGAGGAGGGAAGCAAAGGTGGACAAGAAAGAACTGGAGAAACAGCTGAGAAACACCTGATGTAATGGGAAAGGGGCATATTTTCCTCCATTTTCTAAGCTTGGCCCTACTTAGAAATCTTGGGATTCCTGGAAAGGATTTTTCCAGGGGAAAACAAAGGATTAGCCCCTTAATGAACAGACAATCCAAGCTGCAGCTTGGATTTGCTCAGCTGTGTTGTCTGAAGAACGAAAAACAATAATCAGCTATTTCATTCCCGGGTTCAGCCCCCTTCCCAAGCTAAATCCCTTGGCAACATCCCACCAACGCGATAGCCGAGCCACGCAACCCCCAGCCCCATTTCACTGCAGCTCACACAGACCTCAGCCAAGCCCAGAACAACATGAAAAAACCAGAAGAAGAAGTTCAACATCACCTACCTTCTCTTCCACCACCTCCTCCAGCACATGGAGACTGCTTGATCACCTACCTTCTCTTCCACCACCTCCTCCTCCAGCACATGGAGACTGCTTAGGGTCCCGACATCCTCCTCCTGCAAAGCCCCAGCACGTAAACTGGGCTTAGCTTCTGCAGGGAGCTTGTAACTGATACTGGGATTAGGGACACCTGAGGGGAGGCTCTGGGGGTCGCTAAGAAAGCTGGGAAACTGGTGTGGGGTCAGAAATTGCCCCCAGGTGCTCAGCCTTGCTCAAGGGTGTGGTTTGCTTCAATTAAGGATTAAATGAGGACAGCTGTGCGCATCCCAAAAGCTCAAGGGGAAAGCTGCTGTTCCAGAGACAGCCCGTGCGGCTGGGGCCTGTTTCAAACACACATGACAATCACAAATATCCTTTTTTAATCACAAATATTCTTATTAATCGCTATCATTTGCACAGTATGACTGAAGGGAGCTCTGCAGGCACCTAACAGAGCCGGCGCTAAGCACATACAGGCAGTATGGGCTCTGCAGCCCAAAGAGCTTTCGTATTGCCCAATAACTCCAGATATTTTAGCAAGCCCAAAGAGCTTAAAAAAAAATCAACAAAAAAGGAAAAAAAAAATCACAAAGCAAGAGCCTTTTCCCGTCTTTCTCATGGACCATGAAAAGTACCATGCACCATCCATGTAGCCACCACTTTTTCATTTTAAATAAATTTCTGGTTATAAGCCAAAAACAACTTTGTGAGCCTTTACACAGCAGTGACAAGGGGACACGAGTTCCCAGCTCAGCCTGCAGCAGAGCTTTCCCTCCAAGGAGGTGAGAGAAGTCCAGCACAGAGAGCCCAAGATCCCCAGGCTTATGCACAAATCCCACCTTTTGGGGGGTTTCAGACTAAGTTTAACCCCAGTTTGCACCTTATCTCCCAGTAAGGAGACAAAGCCAGGCACTCCCCCCGTCTGCCTGCAGATGAGAGGTGTGAATGCTTTAATGTCCCCAGGTCAGTAGGGCTGGAGGTTCTCCTGGATGGTGCATCATCAGGGAGCAGCACTGGTCCAGGACCTCTGGAAAACTATGGGATGGGAAAAGAGGAGCCCTGGGACACCCCCCTGGGTGTGTGGGGTCTCTGGAGGCTGAACGAAGGGCTGGGTCCCGGGTCCCTGGGTGCAGAGAAGCCTCCAGGAAGAGGACCTTGTCTGACACCCAAAAGCACTCTCAAGAGAATTATTCGTAGGAAACGAAAACTATGATTTCCAGCCCCTGTCGTACAGACTTCTGATGTTTTATGAGTTTTTCGCTGTTTCATGGGAAGGTGAGCAAGAAAATCTGAAAAAATTGAGAAATGGGGGGAAAAAAAAATAAATCACACGTCCAGAAAATCCCAACCACCTGCATCCCCATCCAATGAGGGTGTTTGCTAAAAGCCCCCAAGAGCTCTGCTTGGAGAGATGCTGGGTCAGGACCCCCCCTGGCTACACCCTCCTTTCAGGGAGTTGGAGAGAGTGAGAAGGTCTCCCCTCGGCCTCCTTTTCTCCAGGCTGAACCCCCCCAGCTCCCTCAGCCTCTCCTCATCAGATTTGGGCTCCAGACCCCTCACCAGCTCCGTTGATGCTGCAGGTTGGGGCTGGGGAGGCTGGAGGATGACAAACCCATCCAGCCCCATGTCCTGCATCCCCACCAAGAGCTCAGCCCCTCACAGGACCAGGCAAAAGGGAGAGAGAAGCCGCTCAAAAGCAGCTCCTGGAGCCCAGAGCACACCCTTATCAGCACCCATAGGCGCCAGCGGCTGCAGCGCACACAAAAGGCAAAAGGCAGCCCTTGGGCCGAGCCAACCAGTCTTAATATTTGCATTTGGTAAAGCAAACTAATAAATCCCCAGGGGTTTATCCGCGCTTCCAGTTTGTATTTGTTAGGAAGAACGACAGGCAGGTTTTCCTCCTGGTTACGCGGGTAAATAGCAATACAGCTCCCACACCCTGCCCTTCTTAACGGCCCGGCGTTGTGTTTGCTCTCTGTCTCTAAACAAGCCAGGACTAAACCACTGACCCACGCTAAAGGCAACCAGCCTTGGAAGTAAATACCAGTTATGAGCTCCCAAAGGCCCACGGCCCAGCATCCAGCCCCGGAGCGGGAGCTGCAGCTACAGGCCCAGAGGCCGGGCAGCACTGGCACCCCATCGGCAACGGGTCCCGGTTCCTAAACCCTCTGAGGTGCTTCTGAGCCGAGTAAAGGGTTTCAAAGGAAAGGACCCAAAATTGGGTGTTTCTCACCACGTTTGTCCCAGTGGGGGGACTCACTGTGCAGAGAAACCAGGCCAGGGCTATGCAGAGATGCTACCAGTTACACCAGTGAGTTTCGAGTTGCTGTGGCTGCGTACCACCCACACCTTAGACTCAACCCACAGAATCATAGAATGGTTAGGGTTGGAAGGGACCTCAAAGATCATCCAGTTCCAACCCCCCTGCCATGGGCAGGGACACCTCCCACTAGAGCAGGTTGCTCAAGGCCTCATCCAGCCTGGCCTTGAACACTTCCAGGGATGGGGCAACAAATCTATGCTTAGGAGGCCACTGTGCTTTTTAGATGAAAGAACACCTTTGTTTTTTTTTTTTTAATAATGAATTAAATCATTAAAAAAAATAACAAAACCATATTTCCATTACATAAATATCCTTTTTACGTTGTATTTCCACACGGCGCCTTCTGGTGCTTCGCATCCAGTCTCCAGGGCGGGAGGGAACACACAGTCCAGGGATGTGAAACAACGGGATTTCAGGGGAATTAAAGTGCATTTCAGTGGCTTTCGGAGCAGGGGACATGCCAGGGGCGGCTTGCCTGGCCGTGCAGTTGGGGGGGTTATGGGTTGCAGAAAGGGAACGGGGAAAGGACAGGGGAGAGTTTTCCTGCAAAGCAAAGGCATTAAACTCTCAGCCTGGCCTTTGTTAGGGCAGAGAAGTTTGCCAAAGCGCTGGTTTCCTGTACAATCAAACGCATCCCCTCAGCAGCCCCGCGATAGGGCCATGATGTAAGTGTGGCTGAGCCAAGGCAAATGGAAAAGAACATCGAGCACTCACAGAGGCAACGGGTTTTATTAAGAGGTTTAATTGTTTCTGAGGGTGACATTTCCCCCCCTGTCTTGACGTTCCCCTTCGCTGAGGTTTGGCACCCCCAGCTCCTGCGCCCACTCCCAGCCCCACCTGGGATCCATAGGGGATGTGCTGGGGATGAGGACACTCAACCACCCATGGCAGAAGGTCCCCCCGAGGCCACCCAGCACTCCTGGCACAAGACAAGACTTTGCCAGACAGTTTTAAACCCCAGGGCACCACGATGGTCAGCAGAGCTTCCACCCCATGGCTCCTCCAAAGGTTTTCATGCCTCCAGGCATCGGCACCGAGCTGCGGGCTGGGTCCAGCCGTCCTCACGAAAAGCCTGAAACCCCGTTTTTTTTTCATCCAACAGAAGAGCAGAGAGATAAAAAAAAAAAATCAAAAAATCCACAGCTGGTTTCTGGGAACCAGGCAAGCACTTGGTCCTTCAAGGGAAAAGCATCGAGCTACCGTTTGACCCAAGAGCCCTTCACCATCCATCCATCCAGCACTTCCCGGCCAAGAGGATAATTTCCAAAGCCCAGCAGAGAACAGCTAATTAAGTCCTTTCGGCTCCGCGTGGGAGGTGGGAGCAAGGTCAGCGCCGGAGGAAAAACCCCCTTGTGGGGCTGAGGTCGAGGAGCCCAGCAAGGCTACGGGGGACAGCTGGTGGGGAAGCTGGTTTTAGTGGTGGGTGAAGGGTCTCACCACAGCCCCTGATGCTCCATCGCTCCCCATCGAGCTCAGCGGTCCCCAACATCCCTTCTTCCATGCTCACAGCTGAAGTGCCCATCCTCAGGAGGGGACTCCTGGATGTTTTGGCCACAATCGGTGCCCAGCACCTTGGTTGTGTCCTCTCAGGTTCCCATGCCCCAAGTTTTCACCGCGGACCCTGCGAAGGAAAAACAGGGCATTAATGGAAGGTCCATGCAGCCGGCTGCGATGAAGCAAATCACGATTCCTCTTTGCCACCAAATTAAATGTCTGGAGCAATGTGTGAAAGCGGAGATGCACCAGCAGCCCCAGTGCCTCCCCTAGAAACACCTTTGGCACCGAGGGACCCATCCACGCTTTGGGGGCTGGAGCCCACCCAAGCTGGTGGGACCCATTTACAGCTGCACAGCCCATGTCCAACCGTGCAGGGACCTGCTCTGCATCTACAGCCATTCGGACTCGGAGAGCAGAGGATGCACTGACAACATCCATGGGAAAACCAGAGAGACTCGGCCACGTGGCTCCAGAGAGCCCAAAAGAGGTGGCAGCCCCAAGGCTGAGCTCCCACGGGATTCAGGAGACATCAGCTGGAGGGGGCAGGATAATGTGAGGGTGGACAGGAGACACAGCCGGGGGCTGAGGGAAGAAAATCAAAAGGCCATTTCCGTGCAACGGCATCTGGGAGCGCAGGGGAAGGGAAAGCAGCTCCTCCTGCCTCCACACACGTGGGCTGTCTTTTGCGGTCCAAGGGATGTGCAAGTCACCCATCAAACATCCCAGCGCCGAGGCGGGACACAGGGCGACCACCGTGCTAGACGTTTGGAAGGAAGTGGGGAGAAGAAAACACAGCCCGAGAGCAAACACCGTCACCAGAGCGGGAATGGATCTCGTTTATCTCTCTCTGTCCGTGGGCTCCCCACCTATGAGCTCTCAAATCAGAACTGGGGGATCCAAGCTCCATCGCTCAGCGTGATTCAACCAGCCCCCATTTGTCTCAGACGAGCCCTTGGCCCATTTGGGGAGATTAATCATTTGCTCCCCTCTTTGATTCTCACCCTGCTCGCTCCATAAGATCATTAAACAGCTTTTCTCCCTGCCCAGCTCCTCGTCCTGATCCAGCATGAACTGGGGGCACGAAGGAAGAAGGGCAGAAGTTTGTGCTCATTTCTCCTGCAGGGCTTCTCATCTGTTTGCTTTGGGCTTCACGAGGAATCTCCTCACCAGCTTGGCTCCTCCTGGCCACGATATGGACGGAGGGATCAACCAGCCCCCGAGCCCCCCCTGCCCTGGGGCAAAGCCTGACAACCAGCTTCAGGCTTTTTTTGGGGGGGAAAGAAAGCGCGCAGCCTCTCCCAGTTTGCAAAACGCAGTGCGCAAGTGTCTCTGGCTCTTGTAAATGTGTTAAAAAATAAAACCCTTTAAGAGCTTCCAGATGTTCTGTTTATGTTGTGGTGTTACCCAGCTCCGTCCTCCCGAGGCCAATCCACAGCCTCAATGAAATTGCAGCAGCCAAGGGGGACGGCAGGGGGGAGTGGGGGAGGCAGAGGGGAGTGAAGGAGGTCCAGACCCTTTTCCTCCTCTTTCCCCCAACTTCTCCTGTTAACTCCTGTGCTGCTGGGAACGCGTTGAGTGTGGCTGCAAATCCTCCCTCCCGCTCCCAGCATCTCCCTCACGGGCATCCCTGGGGTCTGCAAGGGATGCACTAACCCCAAATTCCCAGGCTCTGGGGGCCACTGCACTGCAACGGGACAGGGAGACAACACGCCGGTGGTGACACCCCACAAGCACCCAATGCCCAAGCGTGAAGGTCCAGAAGCTCCAAGCCCACCCGGTGCACGCCTCCAACTTCACATCCACCTGAGAGGGCCCTAAAGGTCTACCAAAAGCTACCTGGCTGCTGGCGTGAAGATGTGACAGGGCACAAAAGCCTTGTTGGGGAGCCCTGGGCGTAGTCCCCGCACACACGGGACTCTTTGCACAGGGCGGTGCAGGTCCAGGGCGCTGCTTTTGAAGTTCCCCGGAGGGAGGTGCGTGGCTGGGAGCAATCAAAGCTCCATAAAGCAGAGATATCGCAGCCACGGGCGCAGGCTCTGATGTGTTATCTCCCCTCCCGGCCGGGGGAGGAGGGCAGGCATGGCTGCGGCTCATTTGAAAAGGTGTTAGCACCTGGAGATCAAAGGCGCTTCCTGATGCCTTCACCCCAGCGGTCAGCGCAGGACTGGGGACCGGGATGCAGCCGGAGCACCGTGGGATGGAGGCACCAGGAACAGGGGTGATGCAACCAGCCCAGCTGGCTCCTGTAGGATGTCCTCCTGCCCACTTCAGGGATGTTATCTTAGAATCATAGAATGGTTTGGGTTGGAAGGGACCTTAAAACCCACCCAGTGCCACCCCCTGCCCTGGGCAGGGACACCTCCCATCGGACCAGGTCGCTCCAAGCCCCCTCCAACCTGGCCTTGAACCCCTCCAGGGATGGGGCAGCCACAGCTTCTCTGGGCAACCTGGGCCAGGCTCTCACCACCCTCACACCAAAGAAGTTCTTCCCCACAGCTCATCTCCAGCTCTCCTCTCCCGGTCTGAACCCATTACCCCTCATCTTATCACTAAAGGCCCTTGTAAGAAGTCCCTCTTAGCACGTCCTCACTCCATGGATCAGGGATGTTGTTTGTTGCCACCCTTCAGGTGGGGAAATGGACCCGAGGCAGGTTCAATGCCACGTGCCTGCCCCGGTTTAACCCCACGCCGTGCGACAGAGCACTTTGTTTTGTCCCAGAGACCCCCCTGATGAAGGACCATCCTCCCCGGACACGAGTGACCTGAACAAACCCCACTCAGGACAAACCTCCCTCCTTCCCCAGCACTAAACCCACACCGAGTGCAATATCCCAGGTGCAATTTATTTTCTTCCTGGGGCTGGTTGCCCTCCCACAAACCCCACAGGGGCAGCATCTGCTTCCCCGTGCCCTGGACCACTCTGGCCCCGGGAGGACCAGCAGCCGGGCCACACACCGAGAGCCCCGAGGCCACCGGTGCCTCCTGGACACCAGCCCCCGCGCTGCTGCTGTTGTTCTCCTCTCCCCCAGCCCCACCACAACGCCCCAGGAGAGCATCAACCCCTGGAACAAGGGCACAAGCTGCCTCCCCCCTCGGCAGCAGCCCCGGGGAAGGAAGGAGAACGCATCCCTCCAGAGCAAACAGAGGAGGAGGCACCGAGTTTGCAGCAGGAATGATGATCCTCTGAGCATTTTGGAGATGGGGATCTGCCTCCTGCCCCGTCCCCCTCTTGTTGCCCACCCCATCTCCCCCCACCCAACACGTGCTTGCAAGAAGCAGGAATAGAAACAAGCCTTTTGGCTCCGGAGGATGGGAGCATCGTGTCCGCAGACAGCTTGAGGACAAACTGTGTGGGCAGCAAAGCCAAACAGGAAAGGAAAAGCAAGAGGCAGGGAAAAGGATTCTGGCAGCGATGGAGAGCTCATACCTCCCTGCTGCTCCCTCCCCCGGGTGTCCCTCCCCCAGACCCCTCGCCCTGCTCAGACATGCCCCCGTTCCACTTGTGCCGTCGAAACCCTTCCCACATCGAAGGGCTGGATTTAGAAAAATGCAGCTGGAGAGCTAAAGCCTGTTTGCAGGAACCGGTCCCAGCACAGTGGCCCTCGCCCCTCGTGGCATTGTCCCTACACACAGCCCCCAGCCCCAAAGCCCTGCGAAGGGACAGGGGAGCCCTGTCGTGTCCAGGAACGGGGACATTAAAGGTCCTGCAAAGGGATGGAGCTTCAGACCCACACACCCTGGTTGGTCTTACCCCTTCCAAAGCTCCAGGGAGGTGGGGGAGGATGGTGGTGAGGGACAGGGGGGACATGGGATCGTCCCTTCGCATCCCAGCCAGCCATTTGATACCGCCTTTAAAGCCATTTACAGTTTAGAGATGCAGGTTTATTCACATGCCCCAACGTGCTTAATGACCAAAGTGCTCCTCAGTGAACCCAGCGAGGGATTGTAAAATAAAGTCAATGAGGCAAGTGGATTAAAGACAAAAAAAAAAAAAAGGCAAAAGATCGGAGAGAGATGAAACGGAGCCGTTGAGTCACAGCCTGTGCCTGCCAATGCACGGTGTCCTCCCAACCCTCGGCAGACCCTCCTCAGGGGACAGTCCCCTCCTGCCAAGGGACCCCTGTCACCACCATCCCCCCCATGCAAACAGCCCCCCAAGCAGGTCAGGGCAGGGGTGACCCCGGTGCTACCGAGGGGACCGGTCCATCCCTCTCTGCTGTTGTCCCATCTCACATGGGGCTCCTCGCAGCTCCTTCATCGCCTCCTCCCTCCCAGCTCAGGCACCCCAGCCCCGCTCCACGGCAGCAGAACCCCCCACCATGGGCCACCTCACATCCCCAAGGCCAACAGCTATTTTCAGCAAAAGATGGAGCCGGGCAGTGATGTTAATTAACCCGGGCACTGGCCGTGCCTGAAACACAGCGGGGTCTGCCCTGAGGTGACAACCCCAGGAGGTGACCTGGGGAGACTCCTTGGGAGAACATTCTTGCCCTGCTGCCTGCTCCATCACCAGTGACACCCAGCACCCCCCATCTGAAACTGGAGCCCCCAGCTATCTGCTCCCACGCAGTGGTGGGGCTGGGTTCCATGGGGGGCTCAGGCTGGCCCTGGAGAACCCACAGCCCCCAATGGCATCTTGCAGCTCCATCTGGTGGAAGCGGGATGCTCTGGCCATGGACCACCAGGCCCACCCTGGTGTGGGTGCCTGCACAGGTGTGGTGGTAACCCAGGACCACCATCCTCCAGCGAGGAGCCAAGCTGGCCACATCTCATCGCAGTTGGCCACATCTCATCGTGGCCAACACAGACACAGGACCCCAGCCCAGGGTCCCACGGACACCCTCAGGGGATGGAGGAAAGGAACCCTGTGGTGACCAGCCCGTGTCACCCCATCCCACGCTGTCCCCACCCTGTGAATACACCTGGAGCTGCGTGAAAACCACACTCAGAAGGGATCATTCCCATGAGGAATCTGAGTGATCCCGAGGAAAAAGCAGCGTGTCTCGTCCGACACATCTTCAGAACAATGTCTCACTCAATGTGGCTTAAAACTGGCTACGAAGGAGCCCCCAGGCTCTGTGCAACCCTTCGTCACCGCAAACGAGCCTTCTCCTTAAAACCACC